ATATCAGGGTTAGAAGGGACCTCAGGAGAATAAAGCAGGACCAATCTCCAACTAAATCATCCCAGCCAGGACTTTGTCAAGCCTGACCTTAAAAACCTCTAAGGAAGGAGATTCCACACCTCCCTAGGTAACCCATTCCAGTGCTTCACCACCCTCCTAGTGAAAAAGTTTTTCCTAATATCCAACCTAAACCTCTCCCACTGCAACTTGAGACCATTACTCCTTGCTCTGTCATCTGCTATCACTGAGAACAGTCTAGATCCATCCTCTTTGGAACCCCCTTTCAGGTAGTTGAAAGCAGCTATCAAATCCCCCCCATTCTTCTCTTCGGCAGACTAAACAATCCCAGATCCCTCAGCCTCGCCTCATAAGTCATGTGCTCCAGACCCCTAATAATTTTTGTTGCCCTCCGCTGGACTCTTTCCAATTTTTCCACATCCTTCTTGTAGTGTGGAGCCCAAAACTGGACACAGTACTCCAGAATTGGCCTCACCAATGCCGAATGAAGGACGTGATCATTCCCCTCTGATCTGCTGGCGATGCCCCTTCTTATACAGCCCAAAATGCCGTTAACCTTCTTGGCAACTAAGGCACACTGTTGACACATATCCAGCTTCTCGTCCACCATAACCCCTAGGTCTTTTTCTGCAGAACTGCTGCCTAGCCATTTGGTCCCTAGTCTGTAGTAGTGCATGGGATTCTTCCATCCTAAGTGCAGGACTCTGCACTTGTCCTTGTTGAACATCATCAGATTTCTTTTGGCCCAATCCTCTAATTTGTCTAGGTCCCTCTGTATCCTATTCCTACCCTCCAGCATATCTACCACTCCTCCCAGTTTAGTGAAATCTGCAAACTTGCTGAGGGTGCAGTCCACACCATCCTCTAGATCATTAATGAAGATATTGAACAAAACTGGCCCCAGGACCGACCCTTGGGGCACTCCACTGGATACCGGCTGCCAACTAGACATGGAGCCATTGATCACTACTCGTTGAGCCCGACGAGCTAGCCAGCTTTCTATCCACCTTATAGTCCATTTATCCAGCCCATACTTCTTTAACTAGCCAGCAAGAATACTGTGGGAGACCATGTCAAAAGCTTTGCTAAAGTCAAGGAATAACACGTCCACTGCTTTCCCCTCATCCACAGAGCCAGTTATCTTGTTATAGAAGGCAATTAGGTTAGTCAGGCATGACTTGCCCTTGGTGAATCCATGCTGACTGTTCCTGATCACTTTCCTCTCCTCTAAGTGTTTTTTTGGCTTCCTCATTTGCTCTGCAGCAACGCTCCTTGTACATAAACTAAAGATCCCTGCAGCGCCCAAAAATCCTGTGGGGTTTGCTCATCAAGTGGGTTACTACCAGAACAATTGTAACGTGAAAGTGGGGATAGGGATGTGCTGAACCTGGGACAAATGAGAGTGGCAGCTTGAAGTGCTGCTCAACCCAGCCTGCTGAGTCCAGGGGCATATAAGGGTGGCCGATTGAAAGTGCTGCTCAACCCAGCCTGCTCAGGCGTGCTCTATTCTGGTGCGGTGCCCAGGGCATATGAGGGTGACAGCTTGGAAATGATGCTTGACCCAACCTACTGAGTCCAGGGATATATAAGGGGTCAGCTTGGGAGTGCGGATTAACCCAGTCCTCTCAGACACGCTCTGTTAGTGAGTGAGTGAGTGAGTGAGTGAGTGTGAGAGAGAGATTGATTCTGGGGCTGGAAGAACCTAGCCCTGGGGAACCTAGGTCTTGCAGGATAGCTCCATGGGGAGGGAACCTGCAGAAGTAGAGCTCCGTATGAGAACACAAGTGACACAAGCAGTACATTGATAGAATTACAGACACCCCCCCCCAAAAGTAACCCTAATAAATGAGTGTATCCAAATGTAATGGGCAAATCTGGTAACAGAAATGAAGGCGCAAAATAGAATTGTTTATTTCTTACCATTTCCCACAAACACTTAATACAGGACACAGTGGCTGTTACCATGAACTCAGTGAAATTACTTACAACAGGGTAAAAATGACCACTAAATAGAGGATCAGCATCAAAGCTGATGAGCCAATTAAGTTCCACTTAAGCCCTTGGAATGCAGTTTGAGATTTAAATGGAATATAAGACTTGTACAGGCCTGCAGTGAATTTCATCAGTCAGTAAGCACTGCACTCAGCAGAAAGGGCTAGATCCACAAAGATTTATTTAGGTAACACCTAACCCCAAGGCACCCTGCCACCAAGAAGAATCCACAGCCCTGAATTAGGTACCCAGGATGCATGGGGAGAGTTAGGCACCTAAGGAAGGGTCCTCAGAAGCCAATCAGCTGAGCAGGGAGCTGCCTAAATTCGCCAGGAGTGAAGTACAGAGAAAAGCATATTTAGGTATCTAGCGCCCACTGGTCTGGTCCTCTAGGTGCCTGACTGACATGCCAAAGGGAGGCGCTTCCCTCTGCTCAGGATTCCAGGAGAAGGTTCATGGCTGAGAGTTGGGCACCAAAGCCAGGTCAGCTGCTGAGATAGCCCATGCCCTAGCAGGCAAAACCCAGTCCTCTCTCATGAAAAGCTAGAGAAAGCCTTAATTATAGCCAATAATCCAGTGGTCGGGGCACTCCCCTGAAGGGTGGGAGATGTGGTTTCAAGTCCCTGATCTGCCTGTTTTGGAGCAGAGACTTGAATTCACATCTCCCACCACCCAGGTGAGTGCCCACGCCACCAGGCTACTGGGTATTGTAGGGTGGGCAGTCTCTCTCTCCTGTTGGAGCTGTTCTACTTGATATAAATAATTAAATATTCATTAAGCCAGAGAGAGAGAGAGAGAGAGAAAATGGCTCTAGTCCAGTGGTTAGGGTATTCACATGGGATGTGGGAGAGATTGAGAGAGACCTACCTCCAAAACACTTACTAGTCTAGTGGGTTAGGGCACTGATTGGGAGGTAAAAGATGTGGATAAAAGTCACTGCTCCAAATCAGGCAGAGCAGGGATTTGAATTTGGGCGATCTACATTCATAGATTCCAAGGCCAGAAGGGCCCATTGTGATCTCCTGCTCTGACCTCCTGTATAAGACAGGCCATAGGACTTCCCCAAAATAATTCTTGTTTGAACTGGAGCAGATCTTTTAGAAAAACATCCAGTCTTGATTTAAAAATGGTCAGTGATGGAGAATCCACCACAACCCTTGGTAAATTGTTCTAATGGTTAAGTATCCTCACTGTTAAAAATCTTATTTCCAGTCTGAATTTGTCTAGCTTCAGCTTCCAGCCAGTGGATCATGCTATACCTCTCTGCTAGATTGAAGAGCACATTATTAAATATTTGTTCTCCATGTAGATACCTATAGCTATGTCCCAGGTGAGTGCCTTACCCAGTAGGCCACCAATAATTTATGGAGATATACCTACCTCATAGAGCTGGAAGGGACCCTGAAAGGTCATTGTGTCCAGCCCCCTGCCTTCACTAGCAGGACCAAGTACTGATTTTGCCCCAGATCCCTAGGTGGCCCCTTCCAGGATTGAACTCACAATGTGGGGTTTAGCAGGCCAATACTGAAACCACAGAGCTATCCCTCCCCCCATCTACAGGACTGGGCTCTGGCTGTGAAAAGGGGTAGTAAGGCATGTCTAGTTGTTCAGCTTAGTTATAAACAGTAAATGCAACATCTCTTACTCGTGATAACTGAGTAGTTAGATAAGTATGGAAACTAGTGAGGCAGCACCTGTGCCTTCAGCGTCTATACTGACTACTTCACTAAAGAATGGACAATCATTAATGTAGAATAGCTTGTTGCTTTGGGGAAAAAAGACATCTCAGGTCCTGAAGATACATCTTCACTGGTTCTCTCAAGCCCCTGCATGGATCAATGTAGTCCCTAAGAAAAGGGGAAAACCTAATAATTTTGTATGGCCTAGGTAGACCAGTAACATAAAATATTTATCCCTGGGGAATCTATTCAGTGATGACATATTTCTGACCTCTATTCTATTAGCATTCTAATGGAGAAGAATATGCATACTTTTTAAAGGTATACTTATCTTATGGCACATAGCCTATTAATGTATTATCTGACAGTGAGGAGGAATTGGATTCTTCCTGTCTAAATTTACTCATCCTCATTGTTAGAACAGTCTGGTACAGAATGTCATTTTAGTCTTCAATGGCAATGCTGTCTGTCATCTCTTTAAAAGTAGGTATATTAATAAATACTTTCCATTTGTACTTGGAATCTGGCAGATGAATCTATTCATAAGTCAAGAAGGAATCCATTCTCAGAGTTTAATTGTTTAATTCTGTGTACAGATTTTTTATCTTCCAAAAGACAAAGGTGCAAACACAGTGCCTGCCCCAAAGACTTTACAGTCTTAAAGACAGCGCTACCAGTTCAACTATTGCTGACAAGTGAATTTATTTCAGACTCTTTTAAAATGTATTTTCCAAACAATATTTGATCCCTTTAAAAGTATTTTGCTACATCTGCTAATGGATGCTGAACAATTTGGACTCTGCACTTTTTTCTAGGGTTGTTAAGTTTCCAATTAACTAAAAATTAAGCATTAACTGGAATACCAGAAGTGAGAAAAAATATGAAAAAATTAAGTTCATTTTTAAAATTAAAATTAATTTATTGATTTATAACATCTATCACTAATTATCTAAAAGAAAAAAAAATCACACTTTTTGTTTCTTTCTAAATGTCTATGGTGCCTGGGTCTTTAAGTCAAGCAAGCATGAAAAATGTCTTGTCCCCATATTAACTTTCTGCAACACTTGTTCAAGTGTAATTTGCTTGTGTTGTACCTACTGCTTACCCAGATGACTGAAGTACTCTCCGCATACCACACAGTGACAGTGCTAATTGTCCAGCATACAGTGAAAGTCAAGAAGCATGTTAGGGATACAGATTTTAGCTTTTATATTTTGTTTTGGTGGAATAGGAGCTGTTATTGCTGCCACTGCATCAAATGAGTGGAAAGTAACTAGCAGAGCAACATCAGTTATCACTGCAACTTGGGTTTTCCAGGGTCTTTGGATGAACTGTGCAGGAAATGCACTGGGTGCTTTTCATTGCAGACCTCATTTTACCATCTTCAGACTAGAAGGTAAGTAAAGGTAATTTTACTAGAACTAAGACAGTGCATGAAGAACTACATCAGTACAGGGTGATTAAGTAACATTTACAAATAACTGAGAATTTCAAGATGTGAGCCTAAGAAGGAAGAGAATGATTTTGGTTTGTACAACAGAGTATAACTAGAAACAAGGGTATACATTTAATAAAAGGAAAATATAGAATGAATATTGGAAATTTCCTGACAGTAACATGCATTCATTTCCCGAGGAAAAAAGGTAATTCCACTATGTAAGACATTAAAAAAAAAAAAAAACACTCCATACAGGACAGAATACTGGCAAATATACTTTTGGTAACAAACTTCTGTTGGCAGAGGTGGACTAGACTACCTAATAGAAATTAGAGATGGAAGAGGTCTATGTGAAACTAAATATATTGCTGGCAGGAGGGGGTAAGTTATAATGACAGGATCTCTGACACTTATCAGAACTTCTTAAAATAATTAGGGACCTGGTCCAATGGAGCACTTGTGTATATTCTTCACTACAAGCACAAGTGTAATGGAACTACTGACATGCTTAGAGCTAAGCACCTATGTATGTGTTTCCAGGATTGGGGCATGATATTGTAGAAGGTGAATTAGAAAGAGAGAGAGGTATTTAACATCATCTATTGATTTGTAAAAAAGTAAATGTAGGCTGCTCAACTACCAGGGCCGGCTCTAGGTTTTTTGCCGCCCCAAGCAAAAACATTTTTGGCTGCCCCCCACCCCAGAGCTGGGTTCTCTCTTCCCCCCTCCCACCCGCACCTCCTGCCACCCCAGCCCTGGGCTCCCCCCTCCACCAGTGCTGACTCTGCCCGCTCCCCCCTCGCCTCCAGCCGGTCCGGCGCTGGCAGGGTCGGGGTAAGCAGTGGGGCTCCCGGGCCGCGCCTCAGCCCAGGGTCCCTCCATCCAGGGCTCCCGCCTCCAGGACCAGCCGGGACCCGGGAGGGCAGAGCCGGGGGACTGCCCCGGCAGAGGGCTGGGGAGCCGGGGCAGGGTAGCCCCAGAGGCAGCGGAGCCCTGGAGAGCGGGACGCAGGCCCCGCCCTCTATGGCCGCACTGCTGCTACTACTTCTGGCCGCCCTGCCACAGTCCCTGGGAGGCTTGGGCCGCTTCGCCCAGCCCCGGCTGCAGCGCTGGGGGGGGCGGCCGCCCTGCGGCAGCTGCAGGCGGCTCCGCGTGCCCCGTGGGGTGTCCCCCAGTCTGAGTGTCCCCCGCTTGAAGCCTGCCCGGCCCAGCCACAAGGTGTGGGCGCTGCTCCCCTGCGGTGCGAACCGCAGCGGCCCCAGGGTGCCCCCCACGCACGACGCGCTGCTGCTGCCAGGGCCGGCTCTAGGCTTTTGCCGCCGGAAGCACACAAAAAAAAAATAGCCAGAATGCTGCCCTTGAAAATGTGCTGCCCCAAGCACGTGCTTGGTTTGCTGGTGCCTAGAGCTGGCCCTGGCTGAAACTGGGCTCTCCAGGATGACTGGGGCAAATGAACAAGGTAGAGTAGGTCTACCATAATCCATTGTGTGGTTGGGGACGGTACTAAAAAAAGACCACCACTAGTAATTTCATGGAATCAGGGAAGAAATCCAGGGCAGAAGCAACCTTGCAAATTCCTCTTTGAGAGCTACAAGAAACACTAGTAGGTGGCATTCGTGGCCTGAGGGTCATACAGGCCAATTCCTGGTCCTATTGAAGTCAGAAATTTTGTTGTAGACCTCAGTGGAACCAAAATTTGGCCCATCATGAGTACCTATGACTTTATACATCTACTCTGCCTTCAGAGCATTTACCTGCTTTGAATAGTAGAAATCCATAAAGGTAAAGTTGATTGGTCAAAATGACTGATGATGAGGATGATGAAGATGAAATTATGGGCTTGAAGTTGCAGCCCTGGTGTAGGCAAAGCTCCCGGTAAGATCAATGGAACATTTATATCTCTTTGTACATATTTTATCAGACAGTCCTCAGAACTGCAAAAAAATCATGTACTAATTATCTGAATCAGTGAGAAACCTTTTACTCGTGTTACAATATAGCTAAAATTAATCAAAGACAGGAAAAAAAGCTATAGAAACTCAAGTGCACTATTTAAAAATCTGTTTTCTTTTTGAATAATTGTTTATGGATTGTAATGCTTATTTTTTCTTGAAGTTTTTTTTTAAAAAAGAACACTTTCCTTTCAGTACTTCAGTGACTATAAACTTTCATTATTATAATAATTGCTAGGAAGGTTATTTGCAATATAATCAATCACATTAGTGACAAAATTTTACTGCTTTGAACCATTTAATCATTGACTGACTACAACTGGCATAATAAATATGATATGAATAGGTATGAATTTTTTAAACAATGTATGTACAAATCCCAATAAACTTTTGCTTATTAGTAGTTTATAATAATACAGATATGTAATTAACAGCTTTGAGCAACATGTTCTTATTAAAATGAGATGGCAGCAATAATTTGAACTGACATTTAGGAAATCTAATTTTAATCAGCCAGGGCAAGCACCTCCAAGGTGTCGTATTACATGCAGAGAAAAATAGATATGCAAAAATAACGAAGCATTTTGTTTTATAAAATTACTTGACATCATGATACTCTGAAGAAAACAAGAAATCTGCTGGAAGAGCTTTGCACATAGTGCTATATTGTAAAATATGAATCCACCATTATTCCAAAAGGAACTAAAATTGCCAGTGTGTCTTCCAGAGCCCGGTGGTGCTGGCACAATTTTTACAGTGGGGGTGCTAAAGGTGGAAACCATGTATTTGGGTTATTATTACTACTTCAAGCCAGAGGGTGTGGCTATACTCCTAGTTCCAGCACCTATGCCAGAGCCTCTGTGTATCATCATTATTAACATAGTGAGTGTGGGCAGGGACAGAGAAATAGCTTTACTATTGCTCACTTATTTTATAGCATTTATTTGCAGTTTGTTATAGAATAAAATACTAAACCGGCTATGCAAGCTCTTTGGTTCTTTAGTAATCTTTAGACAGTTGGGTTGGGGACCAGGAAGAAACAATGAGTTCTAGTCTTAGCTCTTCCGCTTACTGGTATTAATAAACTTCTTGGCCGTATCATTGAGCAAGGTGTCTTCTTGCTCTTAGAAGACAGGCAAGTATCTTTCCCCCATTTTACAGATGGTATAGCTGAGAAGTTCCAGAACTGGAAATTGAATTCTATCTGTAGCATAGCAGACCCAGTTCTCATTCACTGTTATACTGTCTTTCAGAATGGAATTGCCAAACTTATTTGTTTGGCAGAGATGTCTGTAACCATTATACTACCATCATCTCTGCAGCCAGGAATAGAACCCAGGAATCCTGACTCCCAGTGTTCCACTAGGGTCACCAAATGAAATTAATAGGTAACAGATTTAAAACAAACAAAAGGAAGTATTTTTTTGCACAATACACAGTCAACCTGTGGAACTCCTTGCCAGAGGATGTTGTGAAGGCCAAGACTATAACAGGGTTCAAAAAAGAACTAGATAAATTCATGGAGGATAGGTCCATCAATGGCTATTAGCCAGGATAAGGAGGGATGGTGCCAGAAGCTGGGAATGGGGGACAGGGGATGCATCACTTGATGACTGTATGCTCTGTTCATTCCCTCCGGGCACTGGCACTGGCTACTTTCAGAAGACAGGATACTGGGCTAGATGGGCCTTTTGTCTGACCCAGTATGGCTGTTCTTATGTACTGGCTAGCAAATAGTTGTTTAAATCACTGGTATAGTGTGTCACATCTTCTTGTGGCTGGTTTACCTAGAGGATAATAGCCTACTACTACTACCAGGTACTCCATTAACTCAGTGGTAGAAGTCTGTGTAACTCATGTAAAGGTTCTGGGTTCATAACTTGAACTCATTTTGGTTTAAATATTAGTTATTCAAAAACATATGTTTACAAAACATTAAGATTCCAAAGTCAAGCACTCAAAACCTTAATTCAGCCCCATTATGTGTATGGGTTTGTCTAATTACACAATCACATGCTTTCTGGTCTACTGGACTCCTACTTCTGTCAGTGCACAAGATGGACAGTGAATGAGGCAGAGGGTTGCAAGAAGGACAGGGATGTTCTCTTGTGGCTAAGGCACTGGAATAGAACACAAGAGAGCTGGGTACTGTTCCTGGCTCTATCACATTTTTGCAGTGTATATGAGGTTGAGCAACACTCTATCACAGTCAAACATTAGAAAGTCTGGAACTTAACAGTGAAGGCCCTGATCCAGCAGAGCACTTAAGTACTGAAATAATTTCATGCAATTCTCACTCTACCCAACTTACACTGCTTGCCTAAATGTATGTTTGCCCCTTAGCATATGCAATGGTCAAAATAACAAATCATTATGAGAGTACTAAGTACCATTTCCAATAATCTTCTAGTAACAAGTTAATTTTACTTCTGTGCCTATATTTTAAGTGTATAGAATTTTTGTAAAGAAAGCGTAATATTGGTCTAAGGTATTAGCCGGATACCACTGAAACACCCTTGCAGCTTTAATTTGTTTATAACAAAGGTTTTGTTGTGTTTTTTGTGGGGGGAGGAGGTTGGTTCTCTTTTAATAGAAGGCTAAGCTCAACATTCTGTATTATTGATTCTTCTGCCGTGTTAAAGTCTCCTGATAAATCATTGCTTTTGTTCATCAGGGTGTACTATTTTATACCATAAAGTAGATCTATTATTTATATTATGTAGCAACATTTTCCATGAAGACCCATAAGGTCTTCTCTTGGAGTTTTAACTTCTAGCTCCTAATTTTTGAAAAGGTGAATCATGAAGATTTAGCTAGTTCAAACCAATGGATTTCAACAGCTAAATCCACCCACACCTTATAGTTAAGTGCAGTTATTCTTCTCATCTGGAAGGCCTACTATGAGGTTTTCCCCACATGCTTCCAATTTTTTTAAATATTCCATGTTGTTCTACAGAAATCAGTGACACCAACATGCATAACTGTTGATATTTTCATATTCAAAGG